CGCCTCGGCCGCAGAAACGATTATGGACATGGAAGACCTTCAAACCCGACTGGAAAATACCCTTATCACTAAGAGCGATGGAGACGCAACGATCACCCGCCTGATGGCGGAAAATGAAGCATACCTAAAAGTCATCCAATCACGAGGGGTTTCACACCGCACACCGGAACATCCCGATCCTGAACCCTTCACTGGCGAAGACCCCTCTCTGCACACCAGAACATCCCGATCCTGAGCCATTCACTGGCGAAGACCCCTCTCTCCTGCAGAATTTCCTCCAACAACTTGACTTAAAGCTCGAAATGAACAAAGATTGGTGGACTTCAGAGCGTCAACGTATGGGATACGTAGTCTCATGCCTCAAAGGCAAAGCTCATGACCAAGTCCGGTACAACATTAAAGATGGGGTAGTCCTATTTGATAACGTCGACGCCATAAAAGAAGTCCTTAAATCAGCCTTTGGAGACATTGACGCCAAAGCCACAGCCCAGCGCAAGATCTTCGACATGAAACAAGGCCGTAGACCTCTCACGACATTTCTCCCCGAATGGTACGCTGTCGCCAAACTCACCGGCTGGGATAGCGCGGCCCTCATTTCCCACCTCCGACGCGGTCTTCACGAAAACATCACTTGGAGACTCTCCCTCACCAAGAGTAAAGATATGCCCACCGAACTCACCCAGTTTATGGATCTCGTCCGCACCTGCGATACTCTCTCTCACCAAGAATAAAGATATGCCCACCGAACTCACCCAGTTTATGGATCTCGTCCGCACCTGCGATAATGAGTGTCGTCAAGTCAATGCCAACTACTTTAAGAAGAGTACGAGCAACTCCCCTACCAACCAACTCCCGGGTTTGCAGCCCACCAGCGCACCACAATTACCAACCCCTAACGGCGCGGATCTCATGGATCTGAGCGCCACCACCTGGGGACCGGAGGATGTCGTCTCTGGCCGTAGACCGCAAAACGACGCAGAGAGAGCAGCACGGAAAGCCTACTGCACAGCCCACGGGCTCTGTCATTGGTGCAACTCGGACAAACACCGCTCCCTCAATTGCGATACCGCACCATGGAATAAGGGAAAAGCGTAGTCTCCGGCGGAAGTCGCCGCAGGAGACGAAAGAAAAAGGCCGACCTACAACTCTCTTCCCTTGACTCCAGCGAAGCTCATTTACTCTTACCATGTACTCTAACGGAAGACAATAGCTCTCTTCCCTTGACTCCAGCGAAGCTCATTTACTCTTGCCATGTACTCTGACGGAAGACAACAGTGCAACTATGGTAAAGACCAATTCTATGCTTGACTCTGGCGCCACTGGAAAGGGATTTATAGACGAGTCTTTTGCGCACCACAACAAATTCACGTTTCACAAACTACGAAACCGTCGCCGGCTGAATGTAGTCGATGGAAGACCCTCCTCGGCAGGCGACATCACTCACGTAGTAAAACTCAACATGGAAATCAAAGGACACAAAGAAAAAATGTTATTTTACGTAACGAAGCTTGGGAAGTACGACATCATTCTCCGAAAACCCTGGCTGAGAGACCACAACCCAAACATCAACTGGATCACCAATACAGTTACTTTCAACCCTGACCACTGCCGCAAATACTGCATGGAGAAGGGATACTACCAACTGACAGTTCCCGGAACTCCCTCTTTGCAACCTCCGACAACCACGGCTATAACCCCACGCCCATCAATGCCCCGAAG